GAGATGCTAGTGGCAGGGACAGGAGGAGTTAAGGGAGAGGAAGTAAGCGGGAAGGGAATGGGGTGCACCTTGCCCCCACTCACCTGAGCTTCAGGAGCAGCCCACCCCGCATACTTTCCCCCATCAGACAAAGCCCAGAGTCTTGTCTCCTGCTTCATTTTCTTGCTTTCTGTATACCACCCATGGCCCGGTGGTTCAAGAGTCGGGGTCTGGGGCCTTTAAAGCCATTATGGGGAAGAAACAAGCAAACTGACAAGACCCCAGATGGCATGGGCATGGAACATTGAGTGATATGTATTTGTATTGAAGTAGAACTAACTTCGTCGTTGAATAACTTCCCAGAGGGAAACCCTAGTTGTACAAGCACCTTGTAGGTGAGCCACTGAATCTGTGGATGGGAGCCGTGGAGGAAGTCGGAGCAAAGAGAAAGTGGGTGCTAATGCTCTGGACTGGCTTCCAGGAAGAGGGTGGGCAAGGACATGAGGGAGGACAAAAGCCTCCTTCTCATGCTCAGCAGAGCTGTCCCAGGAGTGATGGAAATGAAGTCAGAGGAGAGTACCGACCTGTTTCACCAGTATGCAAATCACTGAGTGGAACACAAATGACTTAGCAAGAAGAGAGAGTGGTGGTGCGTGACTCAAGGCTGGAGCTCAGTCAGAACTCTAAGGACGTTTTGTTGGAATTCCTCATGTTGAAGCGCAGGCCGCTGGGAGAGAAGAGAAATGCATGTATGGAGCCTGGTCTATGTGCCAGGGGCTTTCAGACGTGTTCTTCTTAGGGGCAAACACGGACCACTGGAGAGTAACCTTCATCAGACCCACCACGACAGTTTCATTTGAGCAATTGGAAGCAAAGCCTCGGTACAAGAAAGGGACTTAAGAGGGTGTTCTTTATTTATTGTGCGCATGCATGAGTCCTTCCTGGAGTTTTGAGCTTCATAGATGCTAACCCTGTGTGTTTAATGAACACATCTCCCAATTTATACAGGAGAGTCGAGAAACCCAGAGAAGCAGAACAGCCGGTCCAGGAGTATAGCTGGGAGGTAGCAGAGAAGAGAGTCCCATCTAGTTACCTTCTTTAGCCCAGGACGAACTTATCTGATGGGAAGAAGGGACCTCACATTCTCTGGACTCTGAAGCCTGCACGCGGATGAGGAAATGGAAAAACAAAGGACTGGGGGCTGCTGATCGAGAAGCGAATCAATCCGGCTTTCTGATTTTGTTCTTCTCCACTTCACCCCTTCCTAATCGCCCAGTTAAGCATTAACCGAAAGGTGACGGAAACCCACTAGTCACGGCGGAAAAAAGATGAGCAGCCCAGAGCTCACAACTCTCAAACACTATCAAGCCGCTTCCCCCGAGTGGCCCTGTACCCAAGAACTGAGTGACTCCGGTGGGTTCCGAGGCGGTAACGCTTTACCCCTTGTCTCTCACCTGGTGCTGAGCAGCCCACACTGTCCCCACCATGCCGCTAGGGCTCATGCTCAGGAGCTGAGGGCCACGGATGCCTAAGGGGAACAGGCTTCCCTCTGGTAACTGCAGTTACCGGACTGCTGCCTGACTGCTTTTCCCATGGCCCCTTCTCTCTGCTCATTCACAAGCACTCCCTTCCTGAAGCTATTCTCCTGACTGCCCTCTTCCTCTGGCCTCAAGCTCCTCTCAAGTATTTATTTTGTTCTTTGATGAAAGCCCCAGCCTAAGTCTCTGAGTCAGTGGAAGGGGAGATGTGTGCCTTGTCCGGTTGGAAACCCACCCTTCCTCTGCTCCACCCTGCGACTCCAAAGGCCCTGGACTGACACGCATGGGCCGAGGTGGGGAGGGGCGGGGAGGGTTTTGTAAAAGCCTTTTCTGAGGACCCAAACCTGTTTACAGGGAGGGAAGATTGTTTTAAAGCTCGAGGGGCCATGGGGCTCAAATGAGAGACGTGGCTACGAAGGAAAGTCATCGATCTCTTGAGCAAGGGGCCCTGAGTGGCACTAGGGGCAAGCCGCTCAGCTGTGAGCCCGCAGGCTGGCTGCTGAATCCGCCCTGTAGTTCTGCGGGAGAGAGACCTGTCGGTCGCTCCTGCAAAGATGCCACCGAGACCAGCCCAGGAGGCCGTTCTGCTCGGAGCTTACTGGGAGTTAGACTCGCGTGCTTCGGCAGGGACAGCAGTTTAGTGAACTTGATCTGCAGCATCGAGTCTTAACCATGGCTCCTGGAAGACAGTGGCTTTGAAACCTAATGTACAGGGGAGAAAACGGAGGCAGAAATGAGGAGTCACCCCCAGCTCATTTCTCATGGTTGCTTACAGCCGCGTTTCCCAATGCAATCAGTATTCTAGGAAATGTGTTCTAGGAAAATAATGATCTAAGGTCAGATGAGTCTACAGCTACAGGACTTCTCAGAACCTTGAATCACTAGGTAAGCATTGTAAATGACCAAAGTTAGCGATTTAGTATAAATCATCCAGCCATCTTTGTATTCCATCTTGCTATTCCAGGGCATGTGGCTTGGGAGCTCTGGCTTCCTGGAGAAAGGCTGGGATCCTTAGTTGACATCCAAAGCCCCCTTGCCTGCCCCTCCAGCCTGGCTTCTCAAGACCTCCTCAGACATACCTGCTTGTCCAACTAGACTGAACTTCTTGTTCTTGGGAACTTTCACTACTGACTTTACTCCATGGCTGTGTCTGTAATGTACTCTGAACTCCCAACCAACACCTATGCATCTCTCAGATTCAAGGCAGTGTCCCTTCCCTTTGTTAATTGGCCCCTGTTCTCCCAACTTCTTCCATAGCCCCTGTGTGCTGTATACTTGTCTTCTTGTATTCCTCAACCATTTACTCTGTGGAGGAGGGTCACCACTGGTCATTTTCTGTCCGCTTTCTGCCTGCCTTCTGGTTCTGCCCACAGCTTTGGGCTTTGACATGATCTTTGTTATTCATATATTTTTTCCTCAAGTTTTCCCTCCAAATGTTTCCCTCTAATTTTCCCTCTACCCACTTTGGAAGATGTCCTTTAAAATCTCACTGGATTTACATATTAGCTCCTAATTTATAAACTAGACGTTGTTCTTCTAAGTAAAAATTTGGGTCTGTATTTAAACAGAGTGTCCTTTATGTCCCTTCTTAGCTCAGAAAGCCCTATGCAGATCTTGGTAAATTAATTACTGTTTCTATAAGCATGAGGGTTCTGTTTCTTCTGTTAGATTTTTAACTACAGTGAGCCCTCATTTATCGCGGTTAATCGGTTCTAGACCCTACCGTGCGTGATAAATGAAATTCCACGAAGTAGGATTCCTTATTTGTAAATCAAATATTTTCATAGTGAGAGCATAGAGGACATGAAAAAACACCCTTTAGTCACCATTACACTCGTATTACCCAATTTATTAAACGAAAAAGGGAAAATACAGTAAAACATTTTGGATGTTACAATTATCATTTATTATTTATTATATTATTTATGACATCAAGCGTGTACAGTATGAGCCAATCAGTGGCAGTAATGACAGAGCATGCGCTGTTACGCAAAAACCGCAATAGAGTGAAGCTGCGGAAGTCGAAGCGCGAAGTGGCGAGGGTTCACTGTAGTTCTGTCTGCATCTGAGAAGAGTGCTGATTGGTTATCACTCACATAACAGCCAACAAGACTCACGCCATCGAGCCATCCCCTCCCTCCTTTTCCCATGAGTCACAGTTAGATTTTCCTATCACTGCAAAGTGATTATAAAGTTGTCTGACGTTTTTGAAATCGCTTCCCAAAGAGTTTCCGATCCAGTTCAATAGGCTCAGCCTACACTGCCAAGACTGCATGTCTGTGGGATCTTCCACTCTTTCCCCCCCAGGCCTGGCCACCCAAAGGAAGCGGGGCTCCATTTGTCTCAGGAAGGGCAAAACCATCCCGTTGCCACTGACCCAGGTCTATCTTTAGGCCATCTGACCCCTCCCCATGCTCTGTTCCCCTTTCGCCTGGCTTCTGCAGGCACTTTGATTTGGCGTCGGAAGTTCCCCTGTCCACTTGCCTCTTCCTCCTCATTACTCTAGTTCCCACAGGAACCTGGGAAGTAGGTTGTGCCCAGAGGTTAGAACGGAAACTGCAGCAAGATAACGCCAATGGGACAATGCCCAGCTGACGTCACTGCAACTTCTTTGCTTCAGCCAGGGGTGTTTGGTTGTTGATTCCCCACCCTTCTCCATTTTCTCGTCAGGTTAACCTTCTACCCCACCCAGTTCAGTGTCTATTAATTTTATTTGAAAGCTCTTTGGCATCGCCCTGTGCGTGTATGGGTTTCCTTAAATTCTCATTCAGGACCATAGCTGGGTCGTGGTGAAGTAGCAGTCCCATCCCTTTCTGAGCACGGTGCTAACCGCCTGCATGCTTGCATCGTGGGTTGGGATTCCACGGCAGCTCCGCGAGGCAGGTGGTGTGGAGATTGTACACTCGTCGTCCGCAGGGGTGAGCACAGCAGGGGCACGGGGCAAACGGAGTTGCCATCATTTGCAAAAAAAGAGAGAAAAACGTTTTCCGACTACATTTACTGTTTTTGAAAAGCGCCCCCGCCAAGAAACTGTAATATACTTAAAAATGCTTACTAGGTCCCAAGTGAAATCCCTAAAGGTTCAAATCCACTGCGAGGGGCCTGCGAAGAAAAGCCTGGCAGTAATACTGCCACTGTATCAGCCATTGGGAACCTTGGGGCGTGCAGTTCTGCACCAGCTCGTGTGCAGCCCCCAGGAGTTGAAAATGCCACAAGGTACCGGTGAGGCTATGCATCCGTACTGCTTGCTTGACCCTCCCCAGGAGGCAAGCTCTATTTTTTTTAAATCTGTTTTCATAAAGGAACTGAAGCTCAGGCTTGAAACCACTGTCTTGAGGTCATGTCCAAGTCTAATGCTCCTTCTGCAGGACACCCCCGAGGTCCTGACAGCATCCTTCAGCAGACGTGCGCTGACGGACCAGGCCCTGGCTGGCGTTACCGTGCAGGTGAATTTAGTGTCTGCTCTTTCTCTCTCCTCTCCAGCTCTACCTGCAGGCCCGCTTCACTTGGCGAGGTGCCCGCCTGCTCCGGCCCCTCCTGCAGTTCACCCTCATCATGATGGCCTTCTACACGGGACTGTCCCGCGTCTCCGACCACAAGCACCATCCCAGTGATGTCCTGGCAGGATTTGCCCAAGGAGCCTTGGTGGCCTGCTGCATAGTAAGTCGCGTCTTGTCTTCAGGCTGTAGCTCAGCCCTAGGCTGCTGGCTTGTTGAATGTTTCCAGTTCCGCGACCAAAGCCCGAAAGCACTCAGTCTTCTTCCCTGTAGGTCTCTTTAGTAAAAGGAGTGGAAACGTTCCTGCAACTTTGCAGGATCTGCAAATCCTCTTCTCCACCGCCATAGCTGGTTCACAGACGCACAGGGTATTGGAATTGGAAGGATCTTAGATCTTGTCCAACTGCCCCGCTTTGTAGATGAGGAAATACAGGGGGAGGGAGGGGAAGAGGCTTGCCCACATCACAGGGTACGCTCACTGCCCAGCCCCGGGGCTCCTGACTCATCTGGTGCTCACGTGCAGATTCATACTATTGAGTAGAACTTCGCACTCGGCTTCTTGCAAAACTCGGCCCTTTCCCTCTGGCCCTTGTGGGGAGCTTGAACAGACCCTAAACTTGCTGGAGACGCCGGGCCCCCGCTCAGCAGGTCACAGAGACTGGACTTAAGACAGGCTGCAGTCGGTGGTATGCGCTCCAACTGGCTGGACTACACTCTTCACTTATTTTATCCTGGACTTCTTGAGAGAGCAAGGCAAGTCGTCCCTCCGCTCAGAGTGTCCATGTCCCCAGTCCTCTCTGCTTTCCCGGCTTCCCACCACTTTTGAGGACCTTTATTCCGCATACATAGCTGAACATGCCCTCTGATATTGGCCAGCCTGGGGCCCTGTTCCAAGACGCTCCGCCCTGGAGGGATCTCAGAATACAGCAATGGTTAGATGTTACAGCACCACACCTGCCTGTTGCGTGGCTACGAGTCTAATTCTTGCTCCTTCGTAGTAAGGATCACAAACAACAGGGGGCTCTCAACGAGCTCCTGGCCTTGTCCAGATTTCTTTTTTAAACAGTTTTGTTGACACTGCATCCTCTTATCATACACTTCAATAGCTCAACCATATCAGGAAGATATGTTTACTGTCCTGGTTTCTGAGGTTGGCGGCTGCAGCCCAGGTCTCCCTATAGCGGCCTGTCCCCCCTCTTCCTGTGTCTTAGCCCTGTTCATTCTCTAGTGTGATTGTTTGCATGGGTCTTCCTTTCAACTCTCAAGTTTCTGGGGAGCTGGGGCCATCTCTGGTGTTCTCTGTCTTCCTGAGGCCTCTCAGGGATCCTAGCTCAGGGTAAGTAAATGCTTGCTTAATAAAGAAAAACCTGGAATCAATGAGTTAATCAAATCTTTCTAGAGAACGCTCTAAGGAACATTCTCGGAGAGATATGGGGATGCACCAGGCACACGGTCCTTGCGCTCAGGCAAAGCCTAGTCTGGCTGCTTGCACAGCCAGGCAAATAGCAGGGGGCATGTGATGAGGCTGCACATCAGGCCGTGGTGGGAACATGTACAGCGTGCTCCTACAAGCAGCAGGCAGTGCTGATACAGTGTCCCATGATCCAGAAGAAAGCGTTGGAGTGATCTGAATGGGCACTGTAGAAGTAGCAGCATTGAACTGCTTGCTAGCCTTGGCATGGAAATCCCAGCCTAAGGGGCTGGCTGTGTGGATAGCTTTTGTTATTTCTTTCTGTCTTTTTCTTTAAAGACAAGGCCAGATAAGAAAAAACTTGGGAGAGCAAACCGTTAATGAGAGCAGCTGTCACTGAGCAGCTTGTTCCCAGTGCCTGGTCCTTTAACTCAATGTGACAGTTGGGGAGGGGAGCTTGCAGCAAAGGGTAACCCTTTGCTGACTGTGCTCTCTGGGAGCTTTGCTCTCAGCAGGAGGATGGCCCTTGGACTTATTTGTCCTTCTTGGCACCACAGCCCTAATTGAAGCCTCCTGCAGCCCTATGAAAAATTCCGCAGTGGGAGAGCCTCGCCTCCCTCGCTTTCATATCCTCTAGCCCTGTCCAGGTGCAAGTGGACAAAGTATCTGGGAGGGCTAAGGCTTTGTTCCTAAGACTCTGGCCAACCATAGCACAGGACAGGATTTCAGGTCTAGCCTTTGTAAAGCACCTACTGCCTGCTAAGGATCTCTGGTGGCACAGTGGAATAAGCATTGGGCTATGTAACTAAAAGGTCTGCAGTTCAAACCCACTGGTTGTTCTTTGGGTAAAAGATGTGACAGTCTGCTTCCGGGAAGATTTATAGCCTCGGAAACCCTATGGGACAGTTCTCCTCTGCTCTATGGGGTCACTAGGGGTTAGAGTAGACTTAGTAGCAGTGGGGTAAGTGCTGACTGCTGGCATTGTTTTAGATCTTTTACCAGTGACTCCTTTTAGTCACTTGACTTGAGCCATGTTACAGAAGAGGCCGCAGAGGCTCAAAGAGATTACTCAAGTCATCCCGGGTCAAAGAGCTAGCGGACAACTGTTCCCAAGCTTTGCCCCGTATACATTGCCAAGAGGGAAGTCGGTGGAGCTGAAGGCCAGCTCAGGTAAGGCAAGGTGTAGGTAGCACAGGCAGCTGCTTAAAGTACAACTCCAGGGTGTCCCAGAGTTCTCCGCACCCCTTTGAGCTGAGACTCATTCCTTTGGGGTGCATGCTGTGATAAAGACCTTTCCCTGTCTTGCCGGCTGTGAACATGCGAAGACATGGGCTCTCTCCTAGGCATCGCTTTTCCTCATGCCGAACCCTGAGCCCAGCACACAGAGTCCGTAGTCGTGACTGGCTTTGCCTCCCAGCACTGACCCACCCATGTGATTGAAGCTGTCCCAGAAGGCCAGGGTGAGGAAGTATCTGGAAGCCGTGGCTTGCTCCATGGAAGAGCCTGGGAATGCTCTGAGTGGGGGAAAGAAGGCCATGGGTCCTTTCCCATCATCATATCCAGGATCCAGTGGTTCTGGTTTGGACTGTGAGGAAGACAGTAGCTAAGCTCTCCGTGAGGAGAACTGGGGAACCAAGGGGCAATTGCAGAGAAATGAACATTGTGTGGGTCAGGGCTGTAGCCTCTCACCATATTTGCTCAGTCTACGTGCTAAGCAAATCATCAGAGAAGCTAGATTATATGAAGAAGAATCCATCATCAGGATCAGAGGGAGTTTATTAATAGCCTGTGATATACAGGTGACACAAGCTTGCTTGCTGAAAGGGAGGAGGACTTCAAGGATTGCAGCCTTCGGTATGGATTACAACTCAGTGTAAAGACCAAGATCTTTACAATTGGACCACTATTGAGAAAAAAATGAGAAAAGATTGGAGCTGTCAAGGCTTTTGTCTTGGTCACATCCACAATTAATGCTCATGGAAGCAACAGTCAAAGGAGACCTTGCATTGGGTAAATCTGCTGTACAAGGCCTCTTAAAAAGAAAGTTACTTTGAGGGCTAAGGTGCGCCCGATCCAAGCCATGGTGTTTTCAATTGCCTCATACCCAAAAGACATTTGGATATTGGATAGGAAGACTGAAGAAATATTAATGTATTTGAACTACGGTGTCCATGGATTACCAACAGAGCAAACAACTGTGTGTTGAAAGAAGTACAGCCGGAATGGTAAGACTTCACCTCACGTCTTGTGGTCGTGTTGTCAGGAGAGACCAGTCCCTTGAGAAGGACATCGGGCCTGGTGAAGTAGAGGGCAGCAAAAATGGGGAAGGCCCTCGGCTAGCTGGGTTGACGCAGTGGCTGCAGCAAGGGGCTCAGACAAGAGGACAGTTGTGAGGAAGGCGCCAGACTGGGCGGAGTTCCACTGTGTTGTGTGGCTATGAGTCGGAGTGCCCCTGATGGCACCTCTCACCAAGAGCAGCGGCAGTATCGATGGAGGTCTCATGGTGGGCCCACCATGACGTTAGCTCACTGTGAGCACAGGCCATCTTCTGGAGTCCTCTGCACACCCTGTGTCAAGCTCCTGTGTATACGGTCTTCGTTTCATTAATGAGGAAACAGGTGAAGAAGGTTACACAGAGAGAAGGTAGAGAAGCCAGTTGACCCCAAGCAGCGCAACAGACACCAAGGTCTCTAAGACCAAGCTTCCTGTAAGCCCCTCCCCTCCAGGCAAACCAAGCTTCGTGATGTGTTCACAGCAGTCTGAGTCTTTCTGTGATGAATAGCTGTCATCTTGGCAACCCACCAGGGTGGTTCTGTTAGGTCCTTTGGGGTCCAGCTGAGTTGGCATTGACTCAGTGGTGTGGTGCACTTGAGCTCTTTGTCATGCAAAGTGTTCCCCTTCTCTGCTGGCCCATTTTACAGAGTGTAGCTCCCACGTCATCTCATCTCTGATGAAACTGGGATTCATGTCCTTTGGCTACACAGATTTATTTTCTTGCAGTTCTGGAGGGACAGGAGTCTGAAGTGGGTCTCATCCCCATGGACTGCAGTACAGGTGTTGATGTAGCCATGTCCCTTCTGCAGATTGTCAGGCAGAACCCTTGCCTTTTCTAGCTCCTAAAGATCATCTTGGAGTCCCTGGGTGGCACAACCCACCCTGAGCAGCCTGGAAAGCCTGGCCTGCTGTGATCTACATCTGCAAGATCACAATCTTGAAAACCCCATGGGCCAGACCTCCTCTGCACATGTGGAGTTACCTTTAGTCAACCAACCCTACGACAACTACCGGGAAGAGACCATCTACACTCCATGGCGCATGGCCGGCCCCTTCCTTCTTCCCAGCAGGGGATCATCTTTAAATCTCCCCCTGCTTCTTTCCTCACATCTCCTTCTGTGACTCTGACCCTCCTCCCTGGCTGTTCTAAAGACCCTTGCGGTTACATTAGACCTCCCCAGATAATCCAACTTAATCTCCCCCATTTCATGATCTGTAATTTAATTACCTTGGTAAAATCCCTTGTGGTATATGAAGTGACCTATTCACAGCTTCCAGAGATTAGGATGTAGACATTGATGGGAGGGGTCGAGACTGGTGGAGGGTGGAGACGACAGTCCCTGAACCCAGAGTTGCCTAACTTCCCTCCAGCATTCCCATGGTCCTTTGCACTTTGCCTCGCCACAGCTGCTGTTCTTTTCACAACTGCATGCTCCTGTGTCTAGATTCTGGGTGCTTAAATGGTATAATCCATGGCT